CGGATCGCCCAGGCCAGAGTCCTCATTGGTAGACTGCTCTGCTTCAGGGAGGGCAACACACGCCCGAGAATTATGCGCTCCGTAAAAGAGGCCTTTGCTGGGACAGGTGTACGTCTGTTCCAGCCGGACTTCGGGCACAAACTTACGGAGCGCATAGATGAACTGAAGCAGAAGATCGCTGCATGGGGGAAGCGACTCCGACGGTACTCTGAGAGGGTTGAGAGGTATCAACAGAATCGCCTCTTTATGAGTGATCAACGGAAGTTTTATAGGAACTTGGAGCGCCCAAAACTACAGCCCACAGGACAAAGACCCGAAACAGCCAATTTCGTCGCCTTCTGGAGACAGCTGTGGTCTGAACCTGTGGAACATGAGGAGGGCGCATGGATGCACGATGTTGAGGAAGCATGTGCTCGAATAACGCCGATGAACGCCATTGCCATTACGGAGGAAGACGTGGTTGCCGCGATCCGTCGGGCTCCGAACTGGAAAAGTCCGGGGATCGACGGATTGCAGCACTACTGGTTAAAGGCGTTCTCGGCCAGCCATGCGACCTTAGCCGTGCAATTCCAGAGTGCCCTCGAAAACAGGACGCTCCCGAACTTCCTTACAACCGGGATCACTCATTTAGCTCCTAAGACGGACGATACCGCGGATCCATCTAAATATCGCCCCATCACTTGTCTTACGACAATATATAAGACGTTAACATCCGTTCTGAGCGCTAAGATCTCTCGTCATGTGTACGAGAATAAGATCCTATCTAGCGCTCAGAACGGATGCAGGGGCGGTAGCCGCGGATCGAAGGAGCTGCTCCTCATTGATGCTGTCGCTGGGCACGTGGTCAAGCGGAACCGTCGGAATTTCTCCGCCGCCTGGATAGATTATAAAAAGGCGTTCGATTCCGTGCCCCATTCATGGCTCCGGAGGATACTCGAGCTGTACAAGATCGACGGTACAGTTCGAGTGTTCTTGGAGGCATGCATGAGGCAGTGGACGACGATCCTGACTATCCAGGGCGAGCGATTGACGGATACCGCTGACCGGATAGAGATAAAGAGAGGAATATTCCAGGGCGATTGTTTGAGTCCACTTTGGTTTTGCCTGTCCCTGAATCCACTCAGTACTTTACTGGAGAATTCGGGGACTGGATTTCAGTATCGGAGAGGAGGTACACGAGTGTCTCACCTTCTGTACATGGATGACTTGAAACTGCTAGCTCCGAGCGTCGAACGCCTGACGGAGCTGCTAAATATCGTAAACGATTATAGCAGCTCTATTAGGATGGCGCTCGGAATAGACAAGTGCGCGGTCCTCCATGTGCAGAGGGGACGGGTCACTCAAACTGAAGGGATCGCCACAGATCCCTCTAATATTAAAACCCTCTCCGAGGCTGAAACATACCGATATCTGGGCATGTCACAAAACATCGGTGTGAAGGAGACGGATATGAAACAGTCAGTCCGCGAGGAATTTTTTGCGCGCCTTACAAGAGTACTGAAAAGTTCTTTGTCGGGCGCCAATAAAATCCGAGCTTATGACGGCTGGGTCATACCCGTACTCCTTTACACTTTTGGCGTGCTCAGATGGTCTCAAACCGAACTCGAAGCCCTGGATCGGAAAGTCCGCACAACTATGACCCTCCATAGAATGCATCACCCGAAATCGTCAGTCATGAGACTGTATATCCCGCGGAAAGCTGGTGGTCGAGGCTTGTTAAGCGTTAAGACCATGCACAACCGCGAGATTGACAGCCTCAGGACATATTTTCTGGAGAAAAGAGACGAGGGTTTGCATAGAGAGGTCATAGAATGTGACAAAGGATTCACCCCTCTTTCTCTGGCTAAAGAGGACTGGCGAAAACCCGAAGTTTTGGGTACCTCTCAGCGGGAGGCCGTATGGAAAGAGAAGGAGTTGCACGGAAGGTTCTTCAAAGCCCTTCACGGGCCGTACGTAAACACGAAGACCTCCGTGCACTGGCTACAGTTCGGTGATCTCTTCGGAGAGACCGAGGGTTTTGTCTGTGCAATACAGGATCAGGTGGTTAAGACGAACAATTACCGAAAGCACATTCTGAAGGATGGCACTGAGGACATCTGTCGAGCATGTCGCCATCCTGGTGAGTCACTCAGACATGTGCTTTCGGGTTGTTCAGCTCTTGCCAACACAGAGTACTTGCACAGGCACAACCAGGTAGCCAAAATACTCCATCAAGAGCTAGCTCTGAAGTACGGCCTCGCGAATGAGAGGTTGCCGTACTATAAGTACGAGCCCCAGCCGGTCCTCGAAAGCGACAGCGTCAGGCTCTACTGGGACCGATCCATCATCACGGACAGGACTGTTCTTGCGAACAAACCTGATATCGTGGTGATGGACCGGGCACTTTCGAGGGTGTTTTTGGTGGATGTCACCATACCGCATGACGAGAACCTCGTGAAAGCCGAAACCGAGAAGAAGAGAAAATATCTCGACCTGGCTCACGAGGTGACCGAAATGTGGGGGGTGACATCTACCGAAATCATCCCAATCGTTATGTCGGTGAACGGTCTTATCCCAACCAGTCTGGAACAACATCTCAGACGGTTGGGATTCCGAGGCGGCTCACTCCCGGGAAAGATGCAGAAAGCGGTGCTCTTAGATTCTGCCCGCATTGTACGCCGGTTTCTCTCCCTGGGGCCCTGAACCCCGGCCGACTGTGCTTCTGCCAGGGGTTAGTTGCCATCTCCTCTCCTTAAGAGGGGAGATGAGAATTTTGGTAAAATTTAAAAATAATAATGCAATTTCAAGATACATATACATTACATATTGGTTCACAGTAAATGTCTCTGGGCTCCATGGTAGGAAAAGCCTGTGTTGTAACTACAAGGTACCGGCAATAAGGCATACAACTGTAGACCTCAGGGCAACACAAGAGGGGCATTATGCACGTGATAGTATATTCTGTGATGTCTAAGGTCCGTTTCTAAGTTATAGACAACAATTAGCATTTTTCTACAGGTGAGCTCCCAACATGTGTTCTAAATTATATATATATATATATATATATATATATATATATATATATATATATATATATATATATATATATATATATATATATATATATATATATTATAAATACTGTGTCCTAAATGAGTAACCTACTGATAATGCCAAACTTTCAATGCACAATTATATAATATAAGTAAGTGTATATATGGCGGACTTAACACCTGTAGTGTTAGCCGTAAGCCGCTAAGAGGTAACAAACAACTCCTTTTCAAATTTATAATATTTTTAAAATTAAATTTATAAAAAAATATATATAATATTCTTCCTTTTCGTAATTTCACCAACAGCATTCGAGCTTTGCTTTATTATATACTACCATATTATTATTTTATCTTTGATATTACTATAATATTATATCATCAGTTTTTAAACCTAGATTTTTTTTCATAAAAATGCTCCAACTTAAAAAATATTAAACTAACAGCAGAATCAAGCCTATCGTTAACAAAAATAATCATCAATATCGACTCGGAATTAGCGACGTAATGACATAAAAAAATGTTTAAAAATTGTGTATTAACATGTTATCAGGATCACCAATGCGCACTTGACACCTCTAGTGTTACAGGCGTCTATAGGCTATGATATGGCAGTGAGTATATATATTTGTTTACCATGTCTGTGGCATACAAACATATAGTCATATATAAAAAAAGCCAGTCAAGTGCGAGTCGGACTTGCGCAACGAGAGTTCCCTACAAATTCATCCAGTTTAATTCTATTTTGTGAAATAATTACAAAATTACTGTTTTCTGCTTTTTATTTTAATTGTGCTACATGACATTGCTTCTTGTCAAATTTCGTGATTCTAGGTCAACGGAAAGTATCTTATAGGTTTTGATTCCCTTTGCGAATATCAAAATATGCGATATAAATGGAACATAAACGACCGTATTTTTTGACTGCGTCGAGTTAAAAGCTTGATTTTTTCACTGCTTTAAAATATTGCAGATATGAGTATATGATATTAATATCAACTTGATACCTTTTCACGCATTCTTAATAAAAAAAAGTCCTTGACAGACGGACAGACAACGAAGTAAGTGATCTTATAAGGGTTTCGTTATTCCCTTTGGAAGTACGAAACTCTGAAAAAGAAAAAGTACACACTAATAAGAAAAGAAAAATGTCTATTAAAATCACAGGCCATAATATTGTATAAATCTTTGCGTACAATTTATTAAGCCCCTTGGTGTATAAAATTTTGTAATCCTATTTGCTGTTAAATAATCACACTACATTCGAGTCTATTCATTTAATAGATAAAACAAAATCGCAGGTGTGTATAACCTGTAAGCTTTCGACAATCGAAAGAGAGGGTCGTTCACCCAACTTTAATTCGAACTTCGGCCTACAAAGCGACGAGTGTGATGGATTGCTTACAACCGGATCGCACTCCTGTATTGCGTTGGAAATGACACGAGAGAATCTTCTAGTCAACGCACCTATGCGTTATATAAATTGTGTATCTGATATTAGATATAACGTTCGTCTTCTTTATGGTTCTATTTCTGATCTGTTTTGAATGTTAATACAAAATCTATTATAGTAACAACTAGCTTTTACTCGTGACTTCATCTGCATAATTGGGATATTTTTACCAGTGGGAGACTTTATACAAAAGTTGTTTGCTTGGGCATCTCTTGTCCAATTCGTGTTTCAACAGTGAAGCAGTTGTGTTTGCATAGCTGTAGTTCGGTTTGAAGGATGGGATTTGGCAGTGAATTGAAAGGTAAATAGGAATAACACCTGAGTCCACAGTAATGCCAACGTATGGGGGGTATCTTAAACGAAATAGTACACTCTGTACGTCCATGGTACTGCTTATGTCTATAGGTGACGGTTATCATTTTCCATCAGGTGGGCCGTCAGCTTGTTTGTCATTCTAAGTTGTATAAAAAAAAAGTTTGGGTAAAAATCGAAGTTCACATCTAGCAACTCTGAAAGTAATACAATTTCAGAGTACATTCTTGCAAATATTGTAACAACTATGACCAATTTATTCCACGATATTGTCATTCGCCACAACTGAGTAATCATCGTTGTGTATTTGAATCGTTTAGGATTGTTGAATAGGTTTTTTTTTTAATACTAATATTGAAGTTATATTTCTTGTACATTGAACGTGCATGCTATTGTTTGTCTTATCGGCTATTACTTTTAATTTACTATGAATAATTGTGATTATGAAGAAATAAAAACAAATGAAGGGAAAGAAGCTGAGAATAATAAGTTGTGGAGGAAACCATTATTTCGTCAGGTAAATATTATTTAGGTATTTTGATGTTAGACATATTTTTTTTTTGTTGTTGTTGATATTACTCTGTTTTATAGAGTGCCATAATTCGAAAAATTTGGTTCCTCTATCCGTAACATAGTACAGATATCTTGATACATAGGTATACTTAAGTATTTTGATTTTGTACTACTATCTAAAGTACCATATTTCGAATTAGTAAATGTTGCAAAAACGACACCGTTTCGGTCATGTACCAACGACTTGAGTTATTTTTATTTTAAATCGTAACTGCTTAATCTATTTCGATAAAATCTATAACTGAATTTTTGTCAGATAAAAAATCCAAATGACGGATTTATGAAGCAACAAACTTAAAAAATACACCCGATTTAAGAGCTTCCTTTTTTCTGAAGTCGGTTGGAAATTATGTCCTCGGTCACGACGCATTATAGATATCTTGATTTCTTAATTAATTATATATCATTATTTATATTTAATATTTATATTAAATATAAATAATAATTAAATATATATATATATATATATATATATATATATATATATATATATATATATATATATATATATATATATATATATATATATATATATATAACTTAAATTTAAATCCATATTATTAGAAAAACACTTGTACGCTTCCACAACTTTTTTTATAATTAATTCCTAACCAGTTTCGCCATTCAAAGTATTTTCGAAGATTTATTTAAATGTGTTTCCTTCGTCTAATCAAATGAAGAAACAAAAGTCTTCCAAGAACAAGAAGATAGTAGGCAGGTTTTATTTCAAAGGATGATAATGAAATGGTAATCCCACCTGCGCTAACGGTACACCGTGATGATACCTGGAATTCAGCACGATGGTTTCCAGGGAGAACCACGTGGAGGTATATATATATATATATATATATATATATATATATATATATATATATATATATATATATATATATATATATATATATATATATATATATATATATATATATATATATATAAATTTAATAAACTTACTACGTTTGTCGTTACTGATTGTCTCGCCTTTTAATGCCAGATGAGAAGCTAGGACGCAAAGCGCCATACTCTCCCTATAGGATATATTCGGATAAAGTCGAAACAATTGCCGCAAACGTAGTGAGTTCATTACATAGATATTGTTTAAGTTTTAAAAATAATAATACTGCGATTGATTGTAGTTAGATGTTTGCATTAGTCATAGTATCCTTTTACTTTTTTTATTAACTCAACTTTTTGAAAAAAGCAACCGCTGCTTCTAGCTCGTTCTTCTCACCTGAAAATGCATACCGAACTGGACGGTAGATTAATAAAAAAAAAAAAAAAAAAAAAAAAAAAAAAAAAAAGACTTTCCAAACTACTTATATTTCAAGTTATTGGTATAAATAATATTTATAATTTATTTTAATGTTTTATATGTTATATCTTTCAGGAATACATTGTTGTACCTCGTATATTACAGGTGCTGGTATGCAGTGCAATATGGATAAATTTCTTTTACGCCGGCCTGTCCCTGGGGGCACCGACAGTGTTCATACCACAAATAAGACAAAATGAGGAATCCTTCGGCTCCATCAACACTGAGATGGCAACGTGGCTAAGTAATTTATTATTATATTTTTTTATACAACTTAGAATGTCAAACAAGCTAACGGCACACCTGATGTAAAGTGGTAACCGCCACCTACAGATATGAGCAGTACCATGGACATAATAGGGTATACTCTTTTGACCATGATACCCCCCATTAGTTGCCATTCCTGAGGACCAAGGTGTTAGTCCTTTACACCTTGTAAATTTATTACCATATCCCACCCTTCAAACCGAAACTCAACCATGCAAACGATTGTTCCACGGTAGAAACATGAATGGGACAGAGGTACCGAAGTAAAAGACTATGTATGGGTATGCGATCCCGGCCACCCGATCCACTGTAGTTCCTTTCCCACATTTTATGTTTGTTATCCCTGTTATTTAGCAATTTCCTTTTTTTTTTTCCAATGTTCCGAGCATGCGGCTTCACCTTTTTTCATCAATCCTTTCTCCATACCGTAGGTGGTGGAAACCAACAACATATGTATTCCCAGAGGGTTGACGTCAAACAGTGCCATGGACATAACAGAGTATACTGTTTCGCCCATGATACCCCACATGTGTTGCCATTCCTGAGGACACAGATGTTATTCCTCTGTACCTAGTAAATTCACGCCATATCCCACCCTTCAAACCGAAACACAGCTATGCAAACACAACTGCTTCACGGTTGAAACACGAATAGGACAGAGGTACCCAAGCAATCGACTTTTGTACAAAGTCTCCCTCTGGTATTTATTTGTACATGTACTTTTTTACAGCTTCTATTCTGGGCTTCGGATCAGCGATATGGATTCCTGTTTTATCCGTATCGTCACAAGCCTTAGGACGAAGGATACCATACATAGTAATATGTGTTTTGTGTCTTATTGCATCTATCCTATTATATTATAGTAGAACTGTAATCCACATTTTAGTAAGTGAATTAATTGCAAGTACGTCATTCAGCGCCCAGATAATATTACTCATATTGATTTTCTCTGAGTATACATCACCTCAGTATAGAGGAGTGTTTCTAACATTAAAATCTGCTACATTTTCTTGGGGAGTCTGGGTGTCCAATGCGATTGGGACATACTTTTATTGGAAAAATATTGCTTTACTGGAAATAATTTGTTCACTGTATACTATTATAGTTGCATTTATTATCCCAGAGTCTCCTCTCTGGTTAGCATATAAAGGTAAATTTGAAGAGTGTGAAATATCGCATCGTTGGCTTAAAGGAACTGATGAAGGAGCCGAGGAAGAACTTAAAGAATTGATCAATTTTTATAAAGAAAATAATAATGCTAATAACGAAACTGTATGTAAAATGGATGATGTTAAATATTTTATTATGAATATTAAATCTAAAGAAATATATAAACCCATTCTATTGTCTTTGCTTCTACAGTTGTTATATCACTGTACAGGTAAACTGATGTGCAGTGTCTATGTATTGGATATTGTTAGAGAAATATGTAATAGTGAATCAATGGCGTACATGGCTATGCTTATATTGGATGGCATAACAGTGGTAGGCATGTACCTTGGCTGCGCACTGGCAAAAATTTTAAAGAGAAAAACCTTATTTATTACCTCTACTTTCGTAGGTATCATATTTTTATTTTTAGTATCAGCTTATCTGTATGCTGTAAAATATTCTATAGTTTCAGAAAACAAATTTGTGACGTTAGGTTTACTAATGATGTATTCGCTTGGTATTTCTTCAGGTGCCCTGATATTGTTATTAACGATTATTGGTGAAATGCTACCGTTGAAGTTTCGAAATACATGTAGTTGTATAGTAGGTATAAATGATACACTTTTATTAGGTATATGTCTAAAATTTTCACCATATGTATTCGATATGTTAGGTTTACCTGCCGCTTTTCTCTTATGCGCTGTATTAACTTCTATTTGCTTGTATCTAGTCGGCTTATATATACCAGAGACAAAGGATAAGACGCTGCAGGAAATAGCATCAACTATTTGTGGGAAAGATGATGTGAAACTCGAAGAAATTAATTATAATTTTGCCAAAAATAATGAAAAATTAATTGAGAAATAATATTTTTATAAGTAATGTAAATACTAAGTATAATTACTTTAATTTTGGTAATATATTAATTAAAATTCATTTATTACGTCAAATTCAAACAAATTTTATTCAATTAGATTTGTTTACAAGCACATTTAAATCGTAATTTTTTATGAATTCGGAAAGTTGTTATCTGTTAAGAAAAGCTCGTAAGAAACTCAACAATTACTCTTTTAAATCTCTATTAACATTATGTAAATTTATTTAAATGTACTATGTCTAAAATTACATGGTCATTGAAAAGCCCGTGCTTGATCGACTAAGACCATGCACGGTTGTCGTTCAAGTAATCGTTTAGTGTGTAATAAGGCTTGTTCAATATATATATATATATTTTTATAATAACAGTTTTAAATTTATTAAAAGGTAGATCCAAAATATCCATCGGTATCTTTTAATAATATTCAATGCTCATTCTTATAAAAAACATATTCACTTTTTCTAAACTATCGTTTGGAACTGCAACTTTGAATTTGTATCTAGTGTTAAGATTATTAGGCTTCCTATTTTTAAGAAACAGATGGTGTTTCCTGTATATACACAAAATGTTTGCATTTATGTATAACAAAGTTACGGTAAGAATATTTGCTTTTTTAAATTTCTCTCTCAGTGTTTCATTTTTCATTGAATAAATCGCGCGAATTGTACATTTTTGTAATACAAATATGCTTAATATATGGATGTCGGCTGCATTATCCCATAATAATATTTCATATAGACAGTATACTATGAAGGTATGTAAAATAAATTGCTCTCAGCAATAACACCGTCTTACTGTACTTATACAATTGTATCGTTGAGTTTGTAAATTGTCTTGCTTATTCCCTATATTGTATAATGCTAAATAAAGTATACTCATTCATTCATTCATTCAATAAACGGATCTGGCAGTCTCAATATTAGTATACTATTTAACCCAGACATAACTCACAGCATACTCGTACGCCGCAGTTCATAATTCAGTTACAAGGTTTTGAATGTGGGAACCCCATTAGGTTTTATTATCAAGAGTGACTCCAAGAATTAGATAGATAGATAATTTTATTTGCATTACTTACAGCACACAAATTACAACATAGAGATAACATAAATAAAAAAAATCAAAATGCAACTGGTTCGTTATTTAATTTAAAATAATACACAGATAGAATTAGAATTACAGTAAACAGTATGACAGTTAGAAAAAAAAGGTAACTTATGCATTTTGTTTGTTTTTGGAAATTAATTTTGAAGCGTTCAATGTCAAAAATCAAGTGGTTCGTTATTTAATTTCACAGTAGAATTAGAATTATGTATATTAGAAAAAGAAAATTTTATGCATTTTGTTTGTTGGCATTCAATATTACATTACTTCTGTATATTCGAAATCAATCTGGTGAAAAGTGACAATAATCGCTACAGATATAAACAACACTATGAATTTTCTATCGAATTTATCACGAGGAGTGCTCTGAGGAATTGCTCGGATTGATACCTGCCGCTAATTTTCACCACCGTACAACCCACCATAAACTAAAGTTTCATCCTAACCAACTGGACGAGTGACGGTCTTCCACCGTGCGTTTATCAAGGCACTTTTGTCCACGTACAACCATTCTTTGGAATCAACTTCCAGCAGCCGTATTTCCCAACCAATACGACATCATAACCTTCTAGAAAAGAGCATATTCCTTTTTAAAAGGCCCGCAGCACACCTGCAATGCCGTCGGTGTTGTGAGTGATCATGGGCAGCGATAGTCACTTACCATCAGGTGAGGCGTATACTCGTTTGCCCCCTTAGTACCTTTCATGTGTACATTTCTAAGGGCTATATTGTTATACTTTCGTAAACATCAATTTAGCCGCGTGACCACAGAATCGAAAGGACCACCCCTTTCTTTCCCATGGGTGTCGTAAGAGGCGACTAAGGGAACTTAATGGTTGAGTGATCGGCCTAACTCCAGTTGTCAACCCAACATGACAACTATTAATAAAACCCCCCAAGGGGGAGGTCTATGCTCAGCAGTGGCTGATAAACCATCAATTTCATTGCTAAATCCCATCCTTTTAACTGAAACATAGAAGTGCAAGATTACAAGCACGGCCACGTAGCTGGATAAAAATGAGACGGAGCTATCTAGGCAGATGTTTTTGTTACTAAATGTACCTGGTAATAGTTCTTGTGTACTGGGAATATAAACCTATTAAGGCAACATGAATTAATCCCACGACAATGTCATTTAATGCACCTGAGTAATTATTAATGCAATATATTTATATCGAGTATTGAGTAAATATCGGGTATTGTTGAGCAAATTTTTATTTTTGCAACAGTAGTTACATTACTTATATATTTAACGCATGTGTTGTTATTTAACGTAAAGAATAAATTAAATTTTATTATGAATAATTGTGATTATGAAGTAATAAATGCAAATGAAGGAGAAGATGCAGGGAATAACAAGTTGTCAAGGAAACCCTTATTTCGTCAGGTAAATATTATTTAGACATTTTGATGTTAAAAACTGTTTTTATTTGATATTGCTCTGTTTTTAGAGTCCCGTAATTTGAACAATATGGTTACTAAGTAAAAAGAGTGACTTTAGTGGCAATAAAATATATATAGATATCTTGATAGTTTAAATTCATTACATCAATTATATGGTATTATTTAAAACACTCAAACTTGGCCGTATGGAGACGGCATAAAATAGGCCAACACTTCCTTTCTCTTGACTATCGTAAGAAGCGACTAAGAGAACTTAATGGTAGAGTTATGAGCAACTGCGTCCGTCTTTAAACATTTCTAGAAGCCTAACCGCGTTTGTCAATCCACCTACCAAGCAAGGCGAATACTGGCAAAACTCCTTTATTAAAACATTTATATTATTAAATAAAGTGAAAATATTTCAAATAACGTTATAATAAAAACTGGTAAGTATCTTTAAAATTTTTAATTTAAAAATCGAACTCGACCGCGTTGTTCGTTAGAAATGTAAAATAACATCAACGATAAATACAGTAACAATTGACAAGGAATAGTAACTAAGTTTTTTTTTTTTATACAACTTAGAATGGCAAACAAGCTGATGGCCCACCTGATGGAAAGTGGTAACCGTCGCCTATAGACATGAGCAGTACCATGGACATAACAGAGTATACTGTTTCGCCCATGATTGACCCCCCATGCGTTGCCGTTCCTGAGGACTCAGGTGTTATTCCTCTGTACCCAGTAAATTCACGCCATATCCCACCCTTCAAACAGAAACACAGCTATGCAAACACAACTGCTTCACGGTAGCAACACGAGTGGGACAGAGGTACGCAATCGACTTTTGTACAAAGTCTCCCTCTGGTAGTAAAGTAATGAAGTAGTAAGTAACAGTAAGGAAGGGAATACTGAAATGATAGCAGATAGAGATGAATGGAAGAAAAAAATATATTACATCATCATTTATAGACGATCTCGTATTTCCGTGCGGTCCGGGCATAGAATAAAGTGTTTATCTATCTATTACAGTTGCTAGTGTGCAGTGGAATATGGACAACTTACTTTTACGCCGGACTATCTATGGGTGCACCGACAGTGTTCATACCACAAATAAGACAAAACATGGAATCCTTTGGCTCCATCAACACTGAGATGGCAACGTGGCTAAGTAATTCATTATTAGAATTAACATCTTACTATCTGTCAACAAGTTTAACAATACTTGCACACGTAAAATAAACGACATTAATCGTAACAAAAGACCATAAGTCTCATCAAAAAATAGGTCAATTTAACATTCATAAAAAGATAAAAAGTAATGTATCTGTAAACTAACATTATAATGGCTCTTCCTTTATTATAATAAAAATATCATCATCATCACCTTCTTACCTTTTTCCCAATTATTATTTGGGGTCGGCGTAATATGTTTTTTTCTTCCATTCTTCTCTATTCCCATATCATCTTTTACAGAGTCACATCGATATGCACGACGCACCTTTTTGCTTTTATCTGTCCCATTCGTGTTTCAACCAAAATTGGCTTTCAGTAACTCACCAGAGGGAGATTTTGTACAAAAGTCGATTGCTTGGGTACCTCTGTCCCATTCGTGTTTTAACCGTGAAGCAGTTGTGTTTGCATGGCAGAATCACATTGATGTGGCAACGACGGGCGAAACAGTATACTCTGTTATGTGCATGATAATGTTTACAGGCGACGGTATCCATCTTTTGTTTGCCAATTTTAAAAAAACCTTAAATTAAAAAGATGTTTTGTTTGTAATTTGACATCTGTGTCAGTTTAGTTTTGTTTCGTTCGCTTTTTTGCTCCGTTGGTTTGCTTTGTATATATTTTTTATATAATTATATTATCTTTCTAAAAACACCGCGTTTCTATACCAGCATACAGTCCTTTCGCATACACATGTCTTTTTAGGTCTTTCCTATTATAATACATTTATAATATTATAAATTTTATAGATGAGAATAAATGGTTGTTTATTATTCTTTTATAAAAAAAAAAAAATACTGGACGGATTTGAACGATATTTAGTATATATATTGGATATTTTATAATAAAGATGCAAACGAAGCCGCAATACAAATAAAATGGGTCTATCTAAGCAATTATTCCATTTGTAAACACATAATGACATGTGCCAATAAACAATGAGATGTAATTTTTTAATTAATGTACGTGTAAATTTTGCAATAATCGGAAATAGTTGCAGCTCCTTTAATCTCAAATAAAATATAGAGTCATAAGAGAGCGAATTACATCAGTGGCAAAAGAATTATAAAAGGCCATTCAGAATTGACAAACAATTATAGCGTTACATAAAAAATCAAACGAATTGGGATCCTGCTTCTTAAGAAAGTCGTTTAAAAATGACGCAAATTTGGTATTGGTAGTAAAAATTTGAGCTGCTTACCTGTGCATTATATTGCTCTCTTTATTTATTGCACTGTAAAGCAACAAGGCGCGTTTATTATGTCAGTATGAACTATAAGATATTTTGTACTATATGATGCAATTGAAATCTCAGACACGTGAAGTGTTAAACTTTATGAAATTTCTGGAAAATATTTTAGTACTGGTACTAGCAATACATGTGGCATGGAAAGAATGTAGATATTGATATTGCCCATGAAGTTCATTTATATAGAGATCGGGTACAACTTTAAACCATACTATATGTGCAGTCACTTGTTTGATTATGGTAATACAGTCAAACAGGTCGATTGCATATTTGATTGATGAATTCAAATATAAATTAATTTCATTTAAGTAACATTTAATCTATTATTAATTTAAAATTTAATTACAATAACAGATTTATGTTTGTCGTTTCGATAATTTAAAAATAATCCAGTAATTAATTCTATTCATTTGTACATGTACTTTTTTACAGCTTCTATTCTGGGCTTCGGATCAGCGATATGGGTTCCTATTTTATCCATATCATCAAATTACTTGGGACGAAGGACACCATACAGAGTAATATGTGTTTTATGTTTTATTGCCTCTATCCTATTATATTATAGTAGAACTATAATGCACATTTTAATAAGTGAATTAATTGCAAGTACGTCATTCAGTGCCCAGATAACATTACTTCTATTGATTTTCTCTGAGTATACATCACCACAGTATAGAGGAGTGTTTTTAACATTAAAATCTGCTACTCTCCTTTGGGGAGTCTGGGTGTCCAATACGATTGGGACATACTTTTATTGGAAAGATATTGCTTTACTGCAAATAATTTGTTCCCTGTATACTATTATAGTTGCATTTATTATCCCAGAGTCTCCATTCTGGTTAGCATGTAAAGGTAAATTTGAAGAGTGTGAAATATCGCATCGTTGGCTTAAAGGAACTGATGAAAAGTCTGAAAAGGAATTGATTGATTTAATTGATTTCCACAAAGGAAACAATGATCGAGCTACTAACACAAGTATATCCAAAATGGACAGCATTAAAAATTTTTTCGTTTGTGTTAAGTCGAAGGAAATATATAAACCCATTTTGTTGTCTATGCTTATACAATTACTGTTTGAAACTACTGGTAAAATTATGTGCAGCATTTATATATTAGATCTTATTAAAGAAATATCTAATAGTGAATCTATGGCGTATACAACTATGTTAATATTGGATGCTATAACCGTACTGGCCTTGTATATCGGTTGTGGATTGTCTAAAATTTTAAGAAGAAAGGCCATGTTAACAGCAAGTACTTCAGTGGGAGTGATATTTTTGTTTTTTATATCTACTTATTTATATATGATCGAATATTCAACTGTCAATGAGAACAAATATGTAATTTTAGGATTTCTTATGATTTATTCACTCGGTATTGGATGCGGCCCCATGTTATTGATCTCCACTATTACCTGTGAAATATTACCTTTAAAATTTAGGAATACCTGTACTTGTATAATAAGTATGTACGATCGAATTTTAATGGGTTTAGGCTTAAAGTTTTCACCGTATATATTTTCTGTGCTAGGCTTGCCTAGTGCATTTTTCTTAAGCGGAGTCTTAACCTCTATTTGCTTATATCTTCTCAATATATATTTACCTGAGACAAAAGATAAAACACTTCAAGAAATTTCGTTAGCTATTTGTGGACAAGATGATAGAAACCATAAAATAATTAAATACAAATTTAGTAAAACAGAGGAAATATTAACTAGGGAATGAAATTCATAATAATAAGTTATATAAAACTGTAGTTATTTTGTTATATACTGAATAAAATAAATTTATTTAATTTAATAGTTTTTTTGTTTTTATTGTTATCGCTTTGTATGGTACTGTGTGAATAGCATGATAGAGGAAGACTTTGTACAAAAGTCGATTGCTTGGGTACCTCTGTCCCATTCGTGTTTCAACCGTGAAGTAGTTATGTTTGCATGGCTGTGTTTCAGTTTGAAGGGTGGGATATGGCGTGAATTTATTGGGTACAGAGGAATAACACCTGAGTCCTCAGGAATGGCAATGCATGGGAGATATCATGGGCGAAACAGTATACTCTGTTATGTCCATGGTACTGCTCATGTCTATAGCCGATGATTACCACTTACCATCAGGTGGGCCGTCAGCTTGTTTGCCATTCTAACTTGCATAAAAAAGTCACTTTTAAAAATAGTCAGTTATAAAAAAAAAGTTTTTGGGATCTTTGGCATCCATTGGGAAGTTTTCCCTCGAAGACGAATTGAAGTGAAAAAATGCGTTATAAAAATTTTGAAAACATAGAAGATATTCAGTAGAAAATACGCAGAACTTTTTGGAGTCAATTAAATGTAAATATTTGAACTGAAATTGTACGGGTCATTGCACATACGTATTGATTTTTTTTTTATGGATGAAAATGGAATGGCAGCCCCGCCTGCGCTAACGGTATACGCTGGCGGAGCACCAGTGAAGGGTGATAGATGAGAATGAAAACAGGCCAGTTAGCCCATCACTATAAATTCATCAGGAATTAACCATGATAGTTTTCAGGGGGAACCGCGTGGAGGTCGACCTAGTTGAGTATATTGCTAGCACTGGGATTCTCAATCTCCATTACTAACAATCTCGTTCCCCCCCACCATATATATTGACTTGAATGGACTTGAATCATCATCATCATATCAGCCTCCCGCTAGGGGAGTTTTGCCAGTGGTTGCCACGGTTGGCAGGCGGATTGTCAACCGCAGTTAGCCATTGGAGATGTTTTAAGAGGAACGCTGCTACCCATTCCTCGCCCTCCCTTAGTCGCCTTTTATGACACCCACGGGAAAGGAACGGGTGATCTATTCTATGCCGGGACCACACGGGAATTACGCAAATATAATTTTATTTAAATTTTCTGTATCGTTTATTTACTTACGTTTATTTTTTTACAACTTCAATTCTAGAGTTTAGACTGCCTAAAAGTATAAAACTGAAGTTTTTGTTGACTATATACACTTTAGTGGGAATGTATTTTTATTTTAAATGTTCACGAATCTGTTATATGATAAAATATTCTGTTACAGCAGAGAACAAATCTGTAATATTATAACCACGCGTTTTTACGTAAAATATCCATATATTAAATGATTTTCTTCAATCAATCAATCTGGGTCTTCTTGCCCGCCTTTAATAGTGTAGGCGGGTGAGGTAGGGGTCTCGGGGTAAACCCCTTTACCCCGGCTGCATCTCCGGAGGCAACTACCTCCGGGTCGCTGGGTTCTTGAGCCGGCATACACTGGTGGTCTGTGTATGCCGGCGTGGTGTCTTCTTTGATGTGGCCTCTTCTTCTTTCTTGGTATATAATATATATGTATTTTTTTTTTTTTTTTTTATGATTTTCTTTCACTCATTATTATAATATGAACCGAAACAATAAGTTAATAGCGCCCTCGGCTAAAATCTTTAACCGTACGGGGTTTATCCAACTTGAAATTATAGCTGGTCAAATGTATGACATGTTAGTTACTTTTATATTCAGTAGATGGCGCTAATACTAGTTTTTTTATTTATTTATTTTTTATTTCCTATTTCGCTTATTTGTAAAACTATTAAATTAACTTCAAAAGATATTTAGGTACTTAATGAAGTAAATACTGTTTTTGAATGTAAAATTAATTGCTATTTTTGCACTAAAAAATTTGTAGGATAAATGAAATACAAACTGATGCTAGTTTAACAGAATGACAATGGAATAATGTGACCAGATGAAGACTTTGTACAAAAGTTGTTTCCATTGGTACATTTGTCCTACTTGTATTTCTTGTATTTCTGCCGTGAAGCAGTAGCGCTTGCATAGCTGTGTTTCAATTTGAAAGATGAGATTTGGTAGTTAAATTACAAAGTTCGGAAGACATAACATAGTTGTCCGTAGGAATGGCAACGCATGAGGGGTATTATTGGCATAATGGTGTATGCCATGGATATCATGGTACTGTTCATGTCTATAGGCGACTGTTACCACTTCCCATTAGGTACGCCATCAGCTTGTTTTCTATTCATCATCACAAAAAAAAAAAAAAAAAAAAAAAAAAAAAAAAAAAAAAAAAAAAAAAAAAAAAAAAAAAAAAAAAAAATGCCGATTCTTCATAATTGCAACTGCTTACTGAACTAACTGAATTGAGTAAAAGTACATACAATCCTATTTAATAAACTATTTAGAGTATTAGCATTTTTTAAATTTCATAAAAAACAATCATTTGCTTTTAAATTAAATATTGTTTACGTGCCGTGTTATAAGGAATAAATTAATTGTTTAGCTACGCAATACTTTTAGAGTTCCGCTTTAAACAGCTTTATATGAAATTGGATAAATGGAATTTAATGAACTTACTATATTTACGTTTCTAATAATTGTAAGGGTGTCCTAAGAGAATCTTTTGGGGATACTATTATCAGCCTTAAATTGAAGTAAGATGATATTACATAAGTACTGTCAGAAATTTCATTAAATTTCTGCATTTTATTTATATATACATATAAATGTATAATATATGAACATAAGGTTGGTAAGTTGGTTTGGTCATTTGGAGAGGATGGATGAAAGAAGAATTACGAAAGAGATTTATCGAGCAAGAATGAATGGAGATGTCGGTAGGGGCCGCCCTAGACGGACGTATGTCGACCAAATAGGCGACGTGTTGAAGAAGGGCCTATTTAAAAGTACCCGTAACCGGCGAGCGTGTATGAAAAGATTGATGAATGTGGAAGAAGCGAAAGAGGTTTGTTTGAATCGAAGCAGTTGGCGTTCCATTGTTTCTGCCTACCCTAATGGGAGACAGGCGTGACAGATATGTATGTATGTAAGGTTGGTAACGTCTAATAGGTAATACATTGAAATTTTATATACCAAATTTTAATCTGGTAGACTATCAATTTGTTCAACTATAGCTTAAAATAACTGATCAGAAGGCTGTCATCATTGTGTTCTCCTGCATTTGATATGTATATATAGTATGTAAATTTTAAATGTATATGTATATAATGATTTTTAATTTATATAAATATTTATTTAAGTTTCTGTTTAGCACTACTACTGCCCACTCATTACTTACTATACCATGATGTTAGGTTGACTGGAAGAAATCTCTTTTAGAGGTAAGTTGGCCTTTGTTAACATTGGTAAGACCTATTTGTTATTACTGTATGTTTTAGTGTCATAAAGAATATATACATATATATATAATAGTAGCTAATATTCTGTGACTTTGTCCGCGTGAGAGATAAAAAGTTCAAAGTGTAAATATTACTATATTACTACTATTCTGATCTAGATGTGAGTTTATTAAATTGTTATCCCTTTCATAGTATTTAAGTTAGAGACGGACATAAACCAATTTTTAACGGTCGTTTAATATATCCCACTCATATATAGATATGTACACACATTTTTAATTATTTCTCCCCATCCTACGTAAGGGTTCCTGGAAGAGATCGCTATTTAGCGATAAGGTCGCCCATTGCTGCCTCTGTGTCTTGCTTTTATGTAATTAAATATTCATTTTGTTTGTGTACATATAATTAATATTTATAATCTATTTTAATTTTTTGAAGGGAACAATAAAGTTTTCATTCATTCACAGTTAAAAATATTCCTTAACAATATTGTAACTTAGTTATATTAATATATTTATATCTCTTACCAACTCAAGCAAGTTGTAAACTTGAAACAAAGAAGGATATATTGGTATCACTTTCCCTTTAAGCCTCTCCTACTGGTTACTCTGTTTGAATCATAGTTTGTTATTTACTCTTCTATTGCAGTTGTTTTATTCAAATATATTAGGTGTGATTGTGTTTGTATAGTAATATTTTATGTGTTTATTTATGTATGCATGCTTTGATTGTAGAGAACACCGTGTATATATATATATATATATATATATATATATATATATATATATATATATATATATATATATATATTTATTTAATATATTAGGTGTATTGTTTATATTAGTCTAATTATACGTTTATATTATTAATATACCAAGTATTGCTTTATTTTCCCTCTACATTATAATGCACCGCCTACGTATTTCTCGGTATGCCCAATGATTGATTGGTAGAGAACACCGTCCGGTGTTAATTTCGCCATATGTACATATAATTTAACTATGCGTTAAAGTTTAAATAAATAAATATAGTATTCTTTTTACCCTGATCAACCGAAATATACTAGTCATATGGCCGAACTCGCTGTTAATAACTAGTTCAGCATAAATCCGTTTAGCTATTTTAATTTTTCCAAACAAAGTTATCTCTAAGAGAGGAGACATTTCCTGGCCACCACGTAGCCCGGATCTGAATCGATTAAGTAACAAACACTCTAACCCGCGGTCCAACCCTATACCAACTTTCACATTTAATAATATCATTGGATTAGTGAGATATTGAGATAAGTAAGATTGTAAGTTTTTGATAGTTATAACTGCCATATTTTAGAACTATATTTATATACATACACCTACACACACATATATATATATATATATATATATATATATATATATATATATATATATATATATATATATATATATATATATATATATATATATATATATATATATACATATTATACATATACAAATATATATACATACATATATAAACGTACAAAAATACATAAAAATATATAAATACTGTTCACGAAAAGTATGCAAGTAATAAGTATGCTAACCAGACATATAAATACATTAAGAAGATGACAACTTGCTCAAATAATAGTTCTTCAGTTTTGTTTTAAAACCAGCCGTACATTAAGGTTCACCAAATCTCTATGAGTACTCTAATTGTCTCAAATTATGAAAAGGCGAATTATGGAAGAATAAATGTTTATCAAGTAAAATTTAAATCCTAAACTATTTTGCCTTTATTTTTCCATGTTGTTTTTAATAGTCATACATATTTGAGTTTTTTTTTTATATACAGTTTAGAATGGCAAACAAGCTAATGGCCCACCTGATGGAAAGTGGTAACCGTCGCCTATAGACATGAGCAGTACCATGGACATAATAGAGTATACTGTTTCGCCCATGATACCCCCGATGCGTTGCCATTCCTGAGGGCTCAGGTGTTATTCCTTTGTACCCTGTAAATTCACACCATATCCCACCCTTCAAACCGAAACACAGCCATGCAAACACAACTGCTTCACGGTTGAAACACGAATGGGAGAGAGGTACCCAAGCAATCGACTTTTGTACAAAGTCTCCCTCTTGTGTGTTAATAGAGCTACTAGTTATTTTGTTTTCATTAATCATCAACATCATAACAGCTGTTAACTGTTCGGTACTGAACATAGGCTTTATTCATCAGGGGGATTTTTCCACTTGTTGCCACGCTTGGCAAGCGGATTGGTAATCACAGTAAGGCTTTTTAAGAGGGACGCTTCCACCCATCTTTTAACCCTTAAGTTGCACGAAAAAAATTAGCAGAGGGAGACTTTGCATGACTGTGTTTCGATTTGAAAGGTGAGATATGGCAGTGAATTTACAGGGTACAGAGGAATAACACCTGAGTCCTCAGGAGTGTCAACGCATGGGGTGTATAATGGGTGAAACAGTATACTCTGTTATGTCTATGGTCAATTCATGTATATAGGCAACAGTTACCACTTTTCATCAGCTAGGCTGTGAGCTTGTTTGCCTTTCTAAGTTGCATAAAAAAGAGTCGCCTACTCTATGCTAGGACCACACAGTGGCATGTATTAGTATTAACATGTTAATCAGTATATTTTGATCTGGAATATAAATGATTTTGCTCCACAAAGAAAACACAACTTCAGTTATCACAAAATTATTGTAGAACCAATGTGATAATATAAATAAATAAAAAAATATAAAGAAATATGAATAAATTTTTATTATAATAAGATGAAAAAAAAATATTTAGAATATGATAACATAATTATAGTTATTATAACATTCGCAATTTAAAAAAGGGTACTGGAGAATTAAGAAAACAAAAATAAAAATAATTTTGAAGATAATTATTAAAAAAAAAATGTAAATATACGGGTTTTCCAGACGAGAGTTGCGTCGCCATGTTCTTCGTCGTAATTTCATTATAACTTCGTCGCACTTATATTAAATGTCGACGAAACGTATAAATTTACATTTTATTAATTTAAAAAAAAAACAACTCCAAGTACTACGAGCTTCATTCAAGCGGTAGTAACGTGTATATTGCTTTTGGAATATTAATAGACGAGAGTTTAAATATTGCGCCTTTTAATGGACGAGTGACCATGTCGGTGCATGTTTATATTTTCGTAAAAGTATGCTCGCGACTGTACACTCAGAAAGGGTAGACAGAGTTAATTTCCTTTTGTTTTCCTGTGATTTATTTGTATTTTTCTAAGTGTAATTTAATTAAAGGGACTCACTGATATATACTATGATATATATAAAGGGACTACTAATATATATTTTTCTAATATTTTAAATATGAAAGGGAGTTTGTTTGTTTGCTGCCTTTTAGCACCTGAACCACTTAACTAGTCACTATGAAATTTAGTATACACGTATTACATAATTTGAAAAAACACACGAGCTTCTATTTTTGACCTTGGTTATTTATTGGTTGGTTATTACCCTATTTACGTGGGCAAAGTCGCGGGTAAAATCTAGTTATTATATATATATTACCAGAGGGAGACTTTGTACAAAAGTAGACTGCTTGGGTACCTCTGTCCCATTCGTGTTTTAAGCGTAAAGCAGTTGTGTTTGCATGGCTGTGTTTCGCTTTAAAGGGTGGGATATGGCGTGAATTTACAGGGTACAGAGCAATAATACCTGAGTCCTCAGGAATGGCAACGCATGGGGGGTATCATGGGCGAAACGGTATACTCAGTTATGGTCATGGTACTGTTCATGTCTATAGGCGACGGTTACCAGTTTCCATCAGGTGGCCCGTCAGCTTGTTTGTCACTCTCGAAACACAGCCATGCAAACACAACTACTTCACGGTAGAAATACGAGTGGGATAGAGGTGCCCAAGCAAACAACTTACCTATGTACAACGTCTACCTCTGGTAAAATGTATGTATAATATTCCATACTTTTTATACCATTTCTATATTAGTGTTTTTTTTTTAATTCATTAATATTGTTTCTAGAAATTTGAACTCCTAATTTATAGAGAGATTCCTTTTTAATGAACTATAGTTACAAAGTGCCTAAAATAAATTTTTCAAAATATACACGGAATCCTGTTTGAGAACCACTCGAATGCAATCCCGATAACCTTCCTACTTCCTAAAATTGTTATTGCTAACAACTGAGCCAAATTATACTCTATCCCTATAAAAATAAGGATACATGTAAATGCATAGCACGATTGTCCCGAATCGTGGCAATATGCACATGCGTCGAAGCACAAAGTAGTAGAAGCCGAGCGCTACGGCCAGACGGCGAGACACCGCCGACCGCTACGAGCGTAGACCCGCTACGAGACTACGCCGCGACTTTACGTAACTTTTCATACTTTTCTAAATGACATTCGAACATTTTGTATGTGTATGTATCGTGACTGTGGCTTCCGTTGACTTTTGATGTGGTTTAAAATGTGTTGTGTTTATTATTAATTATCGTTATGTTCTCAAATTAACGATGGCACCGCTAAGGATTCCGACAGGGGACTTTTTCACTGATGACCTGACGGAGTTTTTGAACTACTCCACGCAAACCCCATACCATGAGACCCGTCACCACGGGAGGCACCGTAACCACTCGCACAGGGAGAACCACTCGAAAAACCATAACGTGGCAGATATTCTATCAAATTCCATAATGGAAGTGATGAATACTAAATTCGTGCCTGATAACAGTGTGTTGCCTGATTTAGAGCCTTTGACCTCTCACATAGACGGGTCCATGGACCGTCATTACCCCCTTAAAATGAATATCACCATGAACAGATCTGATTTCGGTGTGATCAGCGATGAGTTTATGTACCGCCACAGCGGTGCTATGACCGCTGTATACTGTGCCGCCTATTTGCTCGTGTTCGTAGTGGGTCTAATCGGGAACTGTTTTGTCATTGCCGTCGTGTACCGTTCACCACGTATGAGGACTGTCACCAACTTCTTCATCGTGAACCTGGCTGTTGCTGATATACTCGTCATTGTATTCTGTTTGCCAGCGACGCTGATGTCCAACATATTTGTTCGTGAGTACTTTTATTAATATTATTGTAAGCGTAATTTCTATTCTTTTCATTTAAGAGTTTCCTCTTGTCGGTGTTACTCATTCATGCATCTTCTTCCAGCCAGTTCTATCCCAGGCCGTTACTTTGACCTCTCCATACGATATGACACACAGTGTTTCTTTTATCTGTCCCATGTAGTTATTCCTCGGTCTTCCTATTCCTCTTTTGCCTCCTATTTTTCCTTCCATTATGCTCTATAAAAATCTTCTTGTCGTATAAAATGGCCCAGCATTTTGTCTCTTCTATTCTCTATAATTTAAATTACCTAAATTTGATGGTAAACTAGTGAAATGGTGAGCGTTCTTAGATTTTGTAATTTGAAAATTTTAGACTTAGACCAGACAATTCTGCATTCAATTTCTGTATTTATAAAATAACAAAAATAGAAACATTAATTAAAATATACATAAAATAGTATTTAATTTCTCTGATAAAAAATAAATAATTAAGAGTCTTTAATAAGGATATTTTTGTTTTTTTTTTGTTGTTTGTTTTATAATTCGCTTTTGAAGTTGTCGAATTAAATCACAGTACATTTTTTCCTTCTAAATTATTATCCCAATTGTCTTATGAATAAAAATAAAATATTTGTAACTGATTATTATGTACTAGCGATCCGTCCCGGCTTCGTACGGGTATATAGATAGAAAGATAAATTAATATTTTGTATTAGCTTTGACAGACAAATTTTTGATACCTTGACCTACATTGTAGTAATTTCCATATATATATATATATATATATATATATATATATATATATATATATATATATATATATATATATATATATATGGTTAACTAGTTTTTCACTTTATTAATAATATATTTTTATTTTATAGATATATCGTTTTTTGTTTGGTTAATCACACACAACATGTTTTTGAGAATTATTAAAAAAACATAATATATTTTATTATGTGTGATCTGCAGCAATACAAAAAGGTATGTAAGTTGGATTGGCAAGCAATCTAAAGGTATAAATAACTATTTTACCTTATGTGAATAAAGTATTAATACTGAAGTCCATACTGGTTAGTAGATTAGATTTTTTTGTTAATTAAACACAAGCAAGTGGATGGCAAATGTTATGTTTCTGGTACGAGTACACATTAATGAATGCATGTGTATGTGTGTATGTGTGTGTATGTGTGTATGTATGTGTGTATGTGTATATGTATGTATATATATAGATATAGATTTAGTACATAGAATTAGGGTATTAGTTCATAATTATTTAAAAGTATACGAGTAGTATGGTATAAAGCTATATGTACAAGAGCGCAGGCTGCAATTAAACTGTAAATTCAAACTGCAGACAAACTTCAAAGCAGTTTCGCGGCACTAAGGACATTCTCTATTGAACTGTTTACTAGAAATAAATTTATAAATAAATGTTAAATTCCTTTACAATTGAGCGCCAAACAATCTACACTAAGTTTCGAGCAATTGCCTACAGATGCCTCGTTTAGATGTGAAACATATGTCGCAAAATGTGCGCAGACTAAAAAATAGAGATTGTTGGCTAATAGACAAGGTCGTAGGATTGTTAGTAATACATGTTTTTTCTTTTACATTTCCCCCCTCCCACCCTCAAGAATGAGTACGTTTGTACCGGATATTAAGTTACAAATTTTTAAGACTACGTGTCATTTGTAATGCTTAATTCTTTTTTATTTTACTTTCCATTCTTTTATTTTTTATACCTTACATTATTCACCTTTCAATTATATACTTAGCGTGATTTAAATTCAATTTAAAATTTGATTTATTTTATTATTTTATTATTACATCAGCCGCTGAATATAGAAGAATATGCCAATAGTTGCCACGCTTGGCAGACGAATTAACACCCGCAGTAATGCTTGTGGTTGTGTTTGGGGGATCCCGCTACCCATTCTTTGACCATTAGTAGAATAGTTTCCTTAATCGCCTCTTACGACATCCAAGAGGAAGGAAGGGATGGCCCATTCTATGCCAGGATCAGACATCCTAAATATAATTTACTAATAAAAACAGTAGTGTTTATAAAATATGCTGGTTCTTTTTTTTCTACTACTTAGAATAGCAAACAAGCTGACGGCCCACCTGATGGAAAGTGGTAACCGTCGCCTATAGACATGAACAGTACCATGATCATAACAGAGTATACTGTTTCGTCCTTGATACCTCCCGATGCGTTGCCATTCCTGAGAACTCAGGTATTATTCCTTTGTACCCTGTAAATTCACGCCATATCCCACCCTTTAAAGCGAAACACAGCCATGCAAACACAACTGCTTTACGGTTGAAACACGAATAGGACAGAGATAACCAAGCAATCGACTTTTGTACAAAATCTTTCTCTGTTGAAATTATTAGTCTTGTTGTTATATATTATTATTTATTAATTATATTTAATTGTAAATAAAAATGCCGTCTGTTGACGTGATGTAATATATATTTTGTTTTAAATTCATTTGTTTATCAACTTTCTTTTTTAAATAAAGAACTACAAAGGTTGCTTGGAAGAGATCGCTCTTAGCGATAAGTTCGCCCGTTGTTTTCTCATTGTGATTATTTCTTGTAATTATTTATATTTATAATAAGTTTACTATTGTAATCTTTTGGAGGAAACAATAAAGAGTATCTATCTATCTATCTACAATTGTCAATGTATGTAAAGAGGTTAATTTGGAACAAATAGTCGTTCCAGGAAATGTAGCATCCATACATACAACACTCGCATGGATGGTAGCAGAATGAAACAAAATACTTCTAACCAATAAATCAGTAACCTGACCCATTGTATGCGATCCATCCATCAAAATGCAACGCAGTTATCCAAGCACAATAGCTAGGAGGTATCCATTCAGAGGACTTTTGTTCGACATCTTTCTATCTATATAATAATGTACCTCATCTGGGATAATAGATGTATTTATATTACTTGCATACATTTCATACATGTACTTATATTTCTTGCATACGTAGACCGTTAGACCGCATTCAAAGTCGGGCGGCTCGAATTATCGATAGTCAACGCCTTACTGTCCGACTTGATCCACTGAAACTGCGCAGAGATGTTGCATCTCTGTGCATCTTCTACCGAATGTATCATGGGGAGTGCTCTGAGGAATTGTTCGGATTGATACCTGCTGCTGATTTTCACCACCGTACAACCCGCCACAAACTAAAGTTTCATCCCAATCATCTGGACGAGTGGCGGTCTTCCACCGTGCGTTTTTCAAGGCACTTTCTTCCACGTACAACCATTCTTTGGAATCAACTTCCAGCAGCAGTATTTCCGAACCGATACGACAACATAACCTTCAAGAATAGAGTCTATTCCTTTTTAAAAGGCCGGCAGCACATCTGCAATGCCGCTGGTGTTGTGGGTGATCATGGGCGGCGGTAGTCACTTACCATCAGGTGAGCCGCATGCTCGTTTGCCCCCTGTGTTGTAAAAAAAAATACACCCACTCTAACTTGCCTACCTCGCCTTGGAATTATAATTTTTGTTTGTATAAATAAAACCCGTTATTGGCTATATTCATAAGAGACTTAGCATGTAAGTTGTTTTTTAAGAGCTGTGGATTTTTGTATAAAATAAAAAAAATAGCCATTATGTCAACATACTTTTTTTATACAACTAATTCATAATAAACATGTAATGGTACGGTGTAATGGCGTCTCGCAGACTCATTGGATAGGTGTCTTAAAACTAATGACAATACTTCTAAAGCGTGGAAAGCGAGCTTGTAACTGTAAATCCAGGGATAATGTTCATGAAACTGAACTTTTCGTCTCGTTATCGCCACACTAGCTTAATTCCGCGGATTTATCTATAGCTAGAACAAAGTATGTATAAGTGTTAGTACAAATATAATACTAATATTATAAATACAAAAGTTACTCTCTCTCTATCTGTCTATTACCTTTTCATGTTTAGATTACTAAATAAATTTTTAATAATGTTAATTTTGGTATAGAGATAGTTTTCTTTTAAACGATGATAATAGAATGGTAACTCTAACTAACGTCTGCGCTAACAGTATACGCTTACGGGCACCAGTGAGGGATGATGGGTGAATAAAAAGACAGGTTTGTTAGTTTAACGTGATAAATACACTTGAAATTCTAAATATATATTTATATAACAAATGTATATTTGTTATTTATATATATTTATTCGTTCATATATGTAATTTTAGTATGTATGTATATCAATAATTACTAGTACCGCATTCGAGTATTCTGACACTTCCCTATGGTTGACTGGGAGAGAATGCTTTTAACATTAAGTCCGCCATGTACACATATATGTACTGATGAATAAATAAATAAATAATAAATTCAACACAATGGTTTCCAGTGGTTGACCACATAGAGGTCGACCTGACAAGGTATATTGCTAGCAATAGTACTGTTGGCGATAAGGCCGCCCGTTGTTTTCTCAGTATAACATTTTATTGTAATTATTTGTATTATATATATATATATATATATATATAGTATTATGGAGGAAACAATAAGGAGTATCTATCTATCTATCTATCTATCATGTAACTTTGTTTGTTCATCCGTTTATAAACACATGTTAAATTCATGCGTAGGCAGAACTCATTTGTGGGTGGACTTTACTATTATATTTGGAAATAAATGAATACAGTGCACTTTGATCATCATTAAACATCATCATTTCGGACATTATCCGTCCATTGCTGGACATAAGCTTCTCCCATAGGCTGCCATAAGGAACGGTCCTGAGCCACCTGCATCCACTGACTCCAATTTTTATATTCTAATACAATTTTGAGGAGGGAAAGGAATTGTTAGCAATGGAGTTTGACAGCCCCGTTGCTAGCAATATGCGCTATTAGGTCGACCTCGACGTGGTTCCCCCTGGAAACCATCGTGAACAATTCTTGTTACATTCGTCACGATGAGCTAACTGACCTGCTTCATCCTCACCTATCATCC